GTTAAAATACCGCATAATTTTCTCTTTTTTTGCCGCACTATCAGATAGCCTGCGTTGTCATATTTACCTTTTTTCGTGATTTGACAGATCGCTGCCTGAACATCCTGCTTTTCAGTCAGATGTTGGGATTGGTGCATTAAGACGAGTTCTTACAGCATATGCATGGAGGAACCCTAGTATAGGTAATGATAACACACATCTGTCGCTGATGGATTGATTAGTTGAATGATTTGTTGCATTTGGCAATGTATCGTTGATTGACATGACAGAGCAATCGATTGAGTAACTTATTGTTTGATTGATTGATTGATTGATTGATTGATTGATTGATTGATTGATTGCACAAGTCGGTGACTATAGTACGTGAAAATGTCTGTAAAGTCCGCACAAGTCGGTGATCATTTAAGTGAAACGGAGTCCGCACAAGTCGGTGATCATCTCTTTCAAGTTGTTTGTTACGTCCGCATAAAAATGTCCCAAAAACTTGAAAATTCCCTTTCGGTCAATTTCAAGGTGTCTAATAATACAGGATTGAATCCTGAGTCCATCAAAGGCTTAATCATTTTAAAATCATTTTGAAAACCTTATGTCCCCACAACTATGGTTAGGACCAAAGTCCGCATAAGTCGGTGAACTTTTGTATGGTTGATATTAAAGGACTGACTGATAAATTGCTTCATTGACTACAGTAACTAATTGATTCATTGATTGATTCATTCATTCATTGATTCATTGATTGACTGATGTCTTACCTGCCTCATCACTACAGGGTACTGTCAAGCTATGAACATTGTTGCATCTGTTCTACTGCTGTACTGTACGGAAGAGCAAGCCTTTTGGCTGCTCGTTGCTGTCTGTGAACGACTTCTACCAGACTACTACAACACAAAGGTGGTAGGAGCTCTCGTAGATCAAGGTTGGTAAAGACTTACAATATACACTTAATGACTGTTCCCAAGGGAAACGGTTGGTTTTGTTTCCCGAGAATCTCAATGTTTCCCGAACAATACTAGTTATTTCTACCACGTGTATGCTGTGAATTCCCTTGCGGTCATTGACTGGTAGCAGGATCGTAAATGATAAGGCTTCATACAGGCTTATGTTTTTCGTAGCATTGTTACTGTATATTGTCCTTCATTTCTAGAAAGACAATTTTGAATGTTTTTCGTACTGTTTCTGGAGAAAATGAAAACGGAACAGAAACGTATCAGGTTTAAATGTGTCTTAAAGGCCCACGTTTACCCAAGAACCTTTGCGATCGTTTCTTTTGTTTCACAAATGATTCCTTCTTAAGAGGAGCTCTCTGATTGGTTCAAAATCAAAGGCGAATTTTTGTATGTGAAGAAATCGCGCAATGGATCTTGGATGCATATGGATGTTTGACTCATTAAGTTCGTTGTATGTACAATTCTTTAGGTGTATTTGAGGATCTAACAAGACTTCATCTACCAGAGCTTTACGATCACTTAAAGGACCTTGGGATACTGAACATGATCTCCTTATCGTGGTTTCTGACCCTTTTTCTCAGGTATTATCACATTCTTTTCTTTTCAGAATAATTGAAGACTATTGTTCGTTTTCAACCATTCTCATATATGAGATTCAAAATATAAACGACCGACGGCCATTTTGGAGGAACGAACAATAGATACTAATGAGAAATCTTTTGTTGAAGTTCCTCCAAGATGGCCGATGTGACGTAACTGGAAAACGAAGAATTAATGTAAACATTTGTGATTAAAACATSACCATATTTGTGTATGAACCGAGGGATAGCCTTCGGAATCGTATTTGAACCGACGACCTTCCGAACTTGTTCCGAACTTCGAACTTCCGAACTTCCGACAACTCTCCGGATTGTACCAGTGACACCCCCGACGTTCCGACGACTTTCCGAAAGCTGTCTGAAACCATCGCCATTTTTTCTCAACCAGTATTCATTGCACATCTTCCATTTAATATCAAGTTTGAAGTTTTTTGAATTTTTTTTATTTCCAGTGTTATGCCGTTTGCCTCAGCTGTCAACATTATGGACTGTTTCTTTTATGACGGAGTTAAGGTTAGTGGGTGAATCGTCAACACTAGAAACCTCTGACTCAATAGACCTTTGAGACGTTTGCGTCATATACCGTATTTGCAATGCATTGTATGGTCTTGTATKTTTGGGACAAAACATGGCGAATTTCTTTAGTTTTCTTCAGAAACTGATCCCAMAATTCATTGCAAATCAAGTAGTGACGTAAAAGCTACAGGATATACGATAAATGTACTTATTTTTCGCATTCAGGTTTTATTTCAAATCGCCCTGGCAACGCTTGAAGCAAACAAAACGCAACTCCTAGCCGTGGAGGATGACGGGGAGGCTATGACTATATTAGGAGCATACCTTGACCACGTGACAAATAGAGACGCTAGTTCCCAGTGCCTTACAATGACTGTAAATAACCGAAGCATTGGAGTACCGTCCACAGAGGTCAGTTGTCGTACCATATTTTGTACATGCGCTTATGCGAGACGATATACACTGGCATGCTGGAAAACATGAAGTAGATTCTGTACTCATACTCCCTTTCATTAAGCATTATGTCTGTTCACTCTGACAACCTCTTTGAAATGGTTGTACTAATGGCCTTGGTTTATAATCTTTGTGTCGTCTTGTTTTTGCCTTAGTATTCATCCTCTGTCGACGTATCTAATCTAATCCTTGAGTCCTATCAAAAGTTTGGCTTCATTACATCTGAGCACATTGAGTCAATGAGGAACATCCAAAGACTGAAGGTTGTCCAGGTAAGTTTTGTGACTATTACTCTCAAAGGTTGACTAGATAATAAAGCTTAATGCCACGTGGAAAAGGGCTTCAATTTATCTCTCTCGTCGTTTCCTTGCTGTAATTTGTAGAGGTCGTATTTTTCYATTTCCAGGGGCTTGAGGATAGCATGAGACGAAATGTTGTAAGGACAATCGGAGCTGAAAGCTCCATCTTCAATCAGAAAGAACTGGAACAGATGTACGCTGTATTTAAAGTAAGTTAGACCTTGTATCAAATAATCTCTTCCTCTAACGAAGAAATAGTCTTCTTCATGATTCCCTGCGCCATCTTGAAAGGTAGCCGTGCCTTTGCATTGAAGCTAGACAACCGTTGAGCGTGCAGTGATAGAAACCTTCTTTCACACCTACAGACAATTATTCACTATATTATAAAGTTAAGGCTCAGTCGTACGTTTTAATCTCMTTTTTTCTCCATTATTGTAGGTGAGTCATTTGCAAACACGTGGTCGGGTCCCAAGCCTCGAGACACGTGATTCCAGTCAACAATGGCAACATTTACAATGTATTGATCTAGAGGGATTTAAACCATTCTTCGTCAGCTTGACAGACTGGGGAAATTGCGAGATATGTGATTTATTATCTCTAAGAGCTTTTAAGGTAAAGTATGACAGGTTTTTTTTTCTGGTAGATTTGTTGGTGGGTTGTCGGGTTGTTTAGTTGTTTTGCTAGTTGGTTAAATGGTTGGTAGGCTACAATCTTGGACATAAATAATTGACAATTTTTCGCTTCGGCGTTACAAATACTGTATCGTGTGCATAAACTGAAAATATTCCCCTTCCCTCCCTCCCCTCTCGCATCAATGTTGCATGCAGGGGTTAATGAATGGACAACCAATGAAAAGAAAGCCACACAACATTGTATTGGGGGAAGGGGGGGGGCACGAGTAAGGTTTTATCGACGAAGAATGTTAGAAATTTCGTGCGTGCGTAAAAATTGTCAACATTTATGTCCAAGATTGTAGCTGTAGGTCGGCTAGTTAGTTTGTTTTGTGGTAGTTCTATTTTTGGTGGTTTGCCAGTCATTCATTTAGTCTGTAMTGGTTTGAAAAGTTTGTGTAAGTTCCATAGTTAAGGTCGATTGTTAGAGGGTCTTGGTTTCACTGTTTCTCTCAATAAACATGTCCACCCACAGGTGATCACACAAGGCAAAAGTGACTTCATTACTTTCAAACAACTCGTCGACACGCTGGGAAAAATCTGCAAAGGCGACCTTCACGACAGGCTGAAGTTCATGTATAGCATGCACGTTGAGCCCGCGATCACCGACAGTTTAGAATCATACTGTGAAACAGGCATAGAAATCGAGGAGGGAAAGACCGAAACATCCAGCGCCGAACAAACTGAAGCATGTTGTGATAATCAAAATAAGGAGACGCCATTAAGCTCGAGTGCCAAGAGTAACGACAGYAAGATACAAGAAATCTTGCAGCAAAATGATGACACAGTCCATCCGCCACCACTGATGACCCAGGTAGGTTGGRAACGAGTTTCCTTTTGTGATAAATATTGATATCTAGACTTCACATCATTTCTTTGAACAATCCATTAAAAAGCCTCATCCCCTCTTAACTTATTTGCATGTAATCATTTACGTACATTTTTACCAGCAGACAGTCATATTGAATTCTATATCATAAATTATGGGATGTCCCCGGGCATCCCATAATATGTTTTTGCACAATGGAATGTCTGGAATTAATGTAAAAAATGTTATTGTTTTTATATTTTTCCAGGAACAGTTTATTCATCTATGGAAGACAATGTATTCACTATTTCGTGAATTGCCGAACGAGCAACAAATGTACCAAGCCATMGCYACTGTAGGCAACATTTTATTAAAACTAGGCGAATTCGGAACCGAATACGGTACATCCTCACCTTTTGAAATCCCCGAAGACAACATAGCTAATAGCTTAGATTCCGAGAAATCTTCGGAAACTCCGAACCTACCCGAAGGCGTGACGACGTCTTCCGACCTGGYATCGTCGGCCTTGTTAAAAGACGTTTTGGCCGATGCTGCGCGAAGTAGTGAATCGTCGTTGAGTAGCCCAGTACGAAGTACTTCGGGAGAAGACTTTGTGATAGTACCGAGCGACGATGGCTTCAGCAGCCCAGAACAACTTGACTTTGACAAGAATGGTGTCATGGAGAACTTGTCRAGTGTATACATAAAGTTACAAAATACTGAACTGACTTCACCAAAYTTGAGTGTCACTGACGAGAACCCTGAAGAACAATGCAACGAGCAAAGGACCCCAACRCAWGAAGAACCGGAAGTAGATTTTGATAATGACGTCATTGAGAGACCTTCTTCCGGTATGCTGGACACTGATTGGTCGATATCTTACGAGCAGTTTTTGGCATCAATGCTGACAGAGCCCTATCTTGTACATTATTTTGAACAACAGATCGATGTACTAGAACGGTTAAAGCGCTTAAAGACTGAGGGACTAACGAGTTTTAAGAGCTCTTTGAATTTATTAGAAGGGGAGTAGAAAATGTGCAGCAATATTGACTTTGGTTTTTTTTTTTTTGGTTATTTTGCTTTATTTCATGGGGTAAACGCTATTAAATTTACACACTAAAACCAGTTTGAAAACTAGTTTAAAAACAGATTATCGCCTA